GTAAAAGTGGCTCTCTTGCGCCTCGCCTGTGTGCCCGGAGGTCACCCCACAAGATCGGCAACAACAATCACAACCATACATCGACATAAACCCATCATTCATTACTTCAACAACTACAACAACCCAAAATCTTGCACCGTGCATACTCGTGTTGGCGGTTATACGTAAACTTCGATAACACAACAACAAGGGCAGTACCCTACACAGAGACAAACACAACTCACGGTCGGGGTTTCCCACAGCATGTGGCATCGGCATTCGTGTTCCTTGAAGTCGACCAGAGACCGCGGCCTGACAAGGGGGACACGCATACAAAGCGCGGGGGGGTGTGGCGTCGGCATGGACGGAAGAAAAACAGCAACCGCAGGAGGGTGCTTTTGCAGGCCTCGGAGCTCTTTATATTGTTGATTTTTCACCATTGACCAACTTCACGAGTCTAGCCCGGGGCGACAAAAGCACCACGCACCCGAAAAGTACCTTTTACCAAAAATGTTCGCATTGATGCCCACCTCTACACCGAGAGTTCATGCTTAGCTCAGCATTGCATCCCCCCTGGTCCAACCACAACACCAGCCTTAAATCGCGCCCATCGTAGACTACAGAACGTCAGGAACATCAACTTCACGCACGCACCACTTGTGTTCTGAAGTCAGGCCAGAGTCAGCAAGGGCATTGTCTGAAGTGTGGGACTCCGTAGATCAACACTCGCTGACAAGGTGGGGGGTAGGGGTCTGTGACAGAGGGTCTTTGACAAGTCAACCTTGGCTTCTCACAAAGCACCCACTTTCTTTGTTCCTTGAGAACTTTCAGACGTTGCTTTGTGGTAACGAGTATCATTGGATTTCCCAGGTGGTCAGGTTGCGTGTATGGATTCGAACGCCGAGGGGAGCGGGCAGGCAGTTCACGAACGATGGATGAGCGTAACGGCTCCCTCTCACTTGTCGACGTAGCTGATTCGCTCCCCTCCTTTCCCCTTGTCGACGTCCATGATCTTGAGGCCGCCGTCCGATGCCCAGGCCACTAGTGGCCCCCTTTATCGCAAAGCAACGCCGCCGCCGCCATCACCACCGACGTCAACAGCCACAGCACAACAACAGTAACAGCCACAGGAGCACAACAACGAAAGTTCGGGGGGGTTAGCGAGGGCGTCTGATGCCAACAGGTCAGTTCACGGCAGCAACGACGATGGCAGAGAGTAACGACCGAAAGCGGAGAATAAACGACGTGGGAAGGAATAAACAGCGAGGGAGAAGCCAAACACGCACGACTTCTTCAAAGAGCCCCCAACGTCAAACATGTGCAGCCAGTCACACAACACATACCCACACAAATGTATGTGTTTTTATGCATATATGGGACCCTTATTCCTTCACACGACCACCGTCTGAAAGAAAAAAACGCCCCCAAGGCGGGCACGCCTGCTTGGGACGTGACTCGTTTTTGTGCGGGCTTACTTCCCCGGCCAGCGTTGGCGTGGTAGCGCGATTGACGGGTCACAAGCGTCAAAATTAACACAGCAACACAGCCGCGCGGCGCGATGCCGACGCCAACACAACCGACGCCACAGAACGACGAAAGTCACAATTGTTGTTCACTTCCGTCGCCCTGCCCTGCCCTGCGCTGCGCTGCGCGCACCTCCAGGCGACGGAGGACACCGGCCCCTCCCCCTTGTGAAGAACCACCTCGTCGTGCCCTAGCCAACCCTTCTTGTTCAGCAGCAGCTTTCCCGCCGCGCCGCCCGCCACAAAGGTCTTGTCCTTCCTGCAGATAGATGGATGGTAACGCAGCGCAGCAACGGAAAGCAAGCAAACGGATGAAAACAACAACGGCGAAAACAAAAGGGACGTTGACATTGCATTGCGCGAAAGAACTTTTACGCCGGACCCCGCACAACGTGCCGCGTGTCGCAATAGCGCCCCGCTCACGCCACCCCGAGACTCTCAGCAACATGATGCCTGAGCTCGGACATCAACATGTTCTCTGTTCACCCGCGCGTGCGTTCGCCCCGGGCGTGTGCTTCTACCGCGCAACCTCGCCGACACGTAGGTTAGCACAAGATACCATACCCCATGGACCGATTTTTCGAGCTCCACTACTCCACGACCAAGAGGATGCCAAGATCAAGCCACACGTTTTCGGAAAGCTGTCGACGAGAAGGGCTCCAATGAACCCATCCATGTTCTCGCTATTTAGTTTTCTGCAAGAGCAATCGAGCCTTGAAAATTGGTCCGTGTTGTGTGGTACCTTGCGGGACCTACGGTAAAGGCCTTCCCCGCGCGTACCTTCTGGCGTAGAGAGGGTCCAGCTTCACCGCCAGCATGGGCCACTTCGCACCGTAGCTGTACACCTCCGGCGCGGTGTGCTCGCCGTTCGCCCCCGGCTGCAGCCCGGTAACGACCACCGTTCCGTCCTCCGAGGAGCTGTGAAGAACGAAAACAAAAACGGGGTGAAGGAAGGCGAAGATGAAGCAGCTTGGTATCTCCTGGGAACCCACGAGCATCAGGGGCTAACGAAACGTGGACTACGCAGCAGCGCCGCCTCTGGATCATTGACAGACTCTCGTTGCCGCGCCGACCTTGTGGAACCTCCGGCCTCAGAGCTGGAGGCCTCCTCCAAAATCCAACGAACTTGTAACGAATGATGCTAGGACAGGAGCACAAGTGCGACAGAAATGCACCACGGATGACAGCGCCCCAAGCCACGATACAAAACCTCAGGCACACCCGTACAATGGATGCCACGCGCCGAACTACTGCTGTCGACTCCAGTACAGAGAACAAGGTATGTATCATAATAGTCGGTACAACAAAACCACGCGAAATATCACCTACGATCCGTCCGCCCTCCACCGCCCCCCAGTCCTGTCCTGTATCTACTACCATCTACTCCCGCTCGCCTGGCGAGGAAGTCTCCGGTGATGTCCATGCTGAGGTCCGTCACGGCCTTCGAGTGAGGTCGCAGCCGTCGAGCCTCGTTGCCGTGGTAGTCGGTGAGCAAGATCGTCCCCGACGCCATCCCGAACACCTGGTTGGTTGGGGCGGTCACGCGCCGGAAGTAGTCATACGAAGGGGGCAGGGGGAGGGTGTCGAACTTCGGTCGTTGTTAAGCCTGTTCCGGGGATTCGAGGGGCCTTTCGCACGAAGAAACGTCTTTGGAAGTGATGCGGGGACAACGACGTCTAGACAAAAAAAAAACGACGCGAGGATCTCCATCAGGCCGAACCCCTTCGTGGGCTATGATAGCATTGCGTCAAGAACATAACAGTAGCTGCCTGCACGCAGTGCACTCGACGTTTTGAGATACCCATGCATGCAACAACCACCGCTCACATGGGCAGGACAGGCGGGGGGTCTAGAGGATGTATCTATTTCATTCTGGCACAAAAGCAACCAATGGCGGTGGGAATGCAGTACCGAAGCCACAAACATATTTCCGTTCAGCGTTTGAAAGGGCAGCAGCCATACGATGATGTCTCGACAGAGACATGGCACGACAACGCTGCACCACCACAGCCTTCCTGCACTTTGCCCTGTCGCCTACACACCTGTGCGGCGTGGAGCGCTCGCTCCCGAACAGCACACGCGAAAGTTCACGATGATCAAAACCTACTATATCCAGCAATTTCTTTGTCCGACCCTGTGACACTGCTACCTATGACGGCAGCATAGCATGATGGACGCCACCCAACACCTGAAACCCAGATGCCGAGATATAATACATGGGCTGCCTGCACACATGCACACATGAACGATGGCTCACGGATCATACGTGAAAGCTAACTGACCGACAACAACAACACGTTGTACACAACGACCACCCGCCCACGGCAGGGAGGAAAAAATTTCCCAGAAACGAGGTTGCATAGACTAGCACACGCCCTACACGCATCGACGTCTCACCAAGCAGGTATCGTGCACAGCCATCCTTACGACCGTCTCCTTCTCCCCCGCCTCCTCTTCCTCTACAGGACCGAGAAGCTTTCCGACGTCCGCCCCCATTCTCTGATACTTGAGGACAGGCTCGTCGTCGTAGTCAGCTTCCGGCCCGCCGCCGCCGCCGCCGCTGCTGCCTGCCCCGTCCATGGTTCCTTCCCGCCCACAGGTAGCAGAAGAAGCCTGTGAGTTGTAGCGGTTGTTGGGAACAACGTGCTTGAAACCGACTCTCGATCTACAGCCCCGCCCCACACTGCAGCTACAGGAGTAGCCCCCGTAGACGGGGCTCGTTCTCTGGAGACTCTGAAAAGCTCTCGAAAGCAGACCAGGTGATCACGCTGGCAGGTCTTGTGCCCCTCCTTGCTTACGGTCTCTGTGTGACCTCGAACACACGCAGCCAGAGAGGCTCCGCTGTGCATTCAAGGTAGTGCAGTGCCGGATGTACTGCTGTAGCATCACCAGACAACCGGGTTCCGAAGCACCGTTTACAATTTGAACCTATGCATACAGCAGTAGCAGAGGTGGTATCACTCCCGGCTGGGAAACTGTAGGCAACAAGCTCGCAGGGGAGCAAATGACAGGAAATTGGCGAGCCTGGTGTCCTCGATGAGACTGTGCGACGGAACTCTGCGGAGTATGTTCGGTCAAGCCCTCTCGTGAGGTGCGCCTGGTGTCCTCCCGTAGCTGCCCATGTCGCCTCGCCGACGAGAGGCCTCGGCAACTGGAAAATTACCAATGGCTAGGTAGGATGGGGTATGGTCCAACTGCGGGCCGCGTCTCCCCCACCCAAACCAATCCCCAATCCCAGCACTCAGTCCTGCTGGCACTTTGCGCTTGTGTCTTGATCTACCACACACGAACAGCTACGAGGATGGTGGAGGGTGGTGGGGACTCGAGCTTCGACACATGGCTAGTGGACAAGCTGGATGCTCTGGGTCTCGATGCCGAGGTACGATCGTGTGTACTCTGTGCACGCCCTTGTGATGGAAAAGATTCAGCTTGTCCTGGTCGCATGATGTTGTGAGGGCACTTGAACTTCCTCTCATAGGCGCACTCACGACTGATATTGGCGGGCAGGGGTAGCCTCTGAAGGCAAGATCTATGTAGTAGTGTTTGCGCGTGGTGTTGCAGTTGTAGTCGTCCATTGTCCATGCGCAAGTTTACATGTCTCACAGACAGCAGCAGTCGCGCACACACGCGTTTTGTTGCAGTTTCCACCCTTACTGCTGTTGTTTGGTGGTGCGAGGCAATGCCGCCACCGATGATACCGCACTCCGACCGACCTCTCGAATGTGGCGACCACATGGTGGGGTCGTCCTTTGAGCACGTTCTTCTCCTCTGGAACCGCTGCAATCGTAGGTGTATGCTGCTGTACTTGTAGTTGATAGCGACGGAGATGCGGAGATCGGCGAAAATGCGGCGTAACCTCGTTGCAAAAAAAAAAAAAGTCCTTCGACTGAATCCCAGTATTAGAAGACTCGATACTGGGATCCCAGCTTTGTTGCTGCACATGATCTCCCTGTACTGGGTCAGTTTCTGTCCGATTGCTAGCATACTCTTCGAGACCTCTTTATATCCACCGCCGTCGTGGAGATCGGAATGATCAAATAGCCCTTTCCACACCATTTTCTCTGAATTCTGGTTCTTCTATTTGCTCGCAAATACCTTAAGGTGCGTACCCTCTCTTCTCCTTGCGTTCCACTGGGAAGCGCCGTCGTTTGCCACCAGCGTGTGTGGGTGGGGTGTGAGCATTTTTCGCCCCGCTGTAGCTCCGACGAAGTCACGAGTCCGCATGTAGAGAGAAACTGCACACCAACACGGTTGACGGTATTGTGGTGCACAACTGATCTGATGCGGCTCTTCTATTATAGCGATGCCCATCCAACCAACATGTTTCCACTCTCGTCGATGACCTGATGAGGGGGTACGCAGACTCTATCCCTAATTCTAACCCTAACCGTAAGGCACGGATTGAATACGTTATCCCATATGTTTGCTTGATCAATTTGGCTGCGTAGCCTTCTGAATAATGCATACGCCAAGAGGGAGATGATATGCAGTCGACGTCCCGCTAGCTCTCCCTCTGCCCATGCCATTCCGGGCGAACGACGACTAATTTGTACTCCCACCTTACACAGGTGTACGGGGGGTACGTGACTGGCATCATGGGAGACGAGGATAACCCCCAGGGGGAAAGAATAGAGTCCGTCATCGAGATTCTCTCTGGGGCTGCCGAAGAGGTATGCTGTAGAAGTTAGGTTAGGTTGTTGTATCATGTTCATTTTTGGAGCGTCTAAAAAGTTGGTCTTGGCCGACTTGTCGACAGCAAGAGTTTCGTTTGAAGTATATATAGCGTTGTGACGGTTGGTACCATTCAGTACATAAGCAACCCGATATTGAACGAGATAAAGGTTTAGCTTGTGGGAGAAAGAAAGTGCCCGGTATCTCGTGACGATATGGTGTCATGGTGTGTGTGTATGTGTATTCCTCCCATCTACTTGTATTCTGGGGTCGGGCTATGCCTTTTTATTGGCCGCAGCAGCCGGAGTCACGCAGGAGGAAGACAAGACACCGAATTCATTTCTCTTTCTCTCTCTTTCTCTCTCTCTCGATCGTTCCTGCTGTGATGCCTAATCAAAACTTCGAGAAACAACGTCGAGCGAAAACGTCGACTGGTTGTTTCTCGATGCCAAAGTCGTTCTTGTGACGGTGAGGGTTTTGATACCCCCAAGCCCGGACAACTGGTTATTATTTGTTCTGGGGGAGTCGTGCGTCGTGACTGTTACTGTCGTGTGTCCTTGCGGGAAGGCACGGTACAAACAAGCCTGTGGAGACAAAGGGGTATGATACCGAAGTAGAATGGACCTAGCCACGAGCAATTAGTCATGGGACGGAATATCGGGCACCTAGATACCTACCTAATTCTCTATGGTTGAGCCACAGGCCCCAAGCGGTGTCAAGCTTCATCGCCCTCCATACTGCGTTCGGTACATACAGCACGCGTTTTAATCTTTCTTTGTGAGACACGGCGAGAGCCTCAAACTGTCGCTGTCGGCAACACTGCTTTCATACACACGCTCGGCCCCTTGTATGCATGATGGTATTGTGAACGGTGCAGCATACAAGCGTGCTACAGTATGTACGCGTGCACGCCATCGTCCCGCTCCGTTGCAGCTGTTACCCGTATGCCTCCCCCTGCTTGTGTAGCCTCACCAGCGATGCTGGTCGTCTAACATACTGCTGTATACTATGATTCATGTTTTTCACTTCTGTTTGTCTGTTTTTATTTATAAGATGTCAAAGAAAGACTACCCTTTCGAGATACTACCCCATTTCGAAGGGCATGCGTTTGATTTCTCTACGGTAGTTAGGACTTGAGGGACTCGTGCTCGATGCCGGACTTATTTGAGCCTGTTAAAGCCTGTCCACTTCCCGCCGGCCTTTTTGCGTGTTTTTTACAGGACAACGACTTCGACGAGTTCCGCTCCGCCCTCAACGAGAGGTGGGACATGAAGGTGGAGCAGGAGGAGAAGGAAAAGGAAGCCGCCAAAGCCGCGAAGCAGAAGGA